CTTACTATAATATGACATTTTTATGCCTGACTACACTATGATGTTTTTATGCCTTACTGTAATATGACTTTTTATTTCCTACTATACTATCACATTTTTATGACTTTCTTTCCTTACTATACTGTGAAATTTATATATATACCAATCAAGAATACCTGTACATATATTACATTTGTGTATGGGCATTTCTGAATGTAAATTCAGATCTTATATGTCAATAAACCGTTTGGTTGACGGCATTAAAAAGTCAATCTCTTTGTTTTGGAGGGGTGGCAAGGTTGTTTTTTCCCTTCCAACGTTGAGACCAAACCTACGCCTTTGGTTTGTGTTGAATGTGGCTGCTCTGCTGTGTGTTTTGAGAAACCACATAAGTCAGCCAATGACTTACAAAACTCATTTTCACAGGACAATAAACCTCAAATACACATACTGATCCGACCACAACATGCCTCTGCGTTTTCACAAAGACTCATGTACACCATCGGTTTTTGTCACCACAGTTTCAGCTTTAACATGAGAAAACTTGCAGAGCAGGTCACTGGTGCTAACCAACATTTCCACATGAACCATGTCATCATCAGATTAACAGGCGGCTGTGATGAAGTCACAGTGAACACACAGGATGTAAAACAGAAATCAGGTTTCTTCATCTTCATCTCTCATCTCTCCAAAATTACTCAATTCCTCTCAGGGATGTGGCAAAAAGTATGTGGACACCTCAACAGTAACATCAGGTGAGCTTTGAAGCAACCAGGTCATTTATGTTCAGCCCTAACGTAAAGCAGCCTCTTTTATTGTATGTTTACTTGTTGATTCACTACAGGTACGTTGATGCCTGTATTTAAAGGACCAACTGAGGCTGCATATATATGTATATAGCACCGCCCCAGGCTCGTCCTTATGTGACATTTCATGTTGTTGATTTAACTAAGAATCAAGCTCACGTATGTTGATGAAGGCGGATTAAGTCTCTCAGCAGAATCATTGTATGTATGTACAGATTGATGTCTGCTTTGATCTCATCAGGGCTTGTTCCTTCTATAGTTTCTACAGTGGAATTGTGATGATTGTGATGAAGAGTGATAATGATGTTTGTGTGTGTTCTTAGTTTATCTTGGGGAAGTTTATCTTGAGGAAAAAGATCATCAGGATAACCTGACCCACAAGAATACACCGTACTACACAGATACAGCTTATTCAGTATCTTGTCCTTCTGTCTCTGTTAAGACCAATTTGAGTTTCAGACCATGAGAGAAAAATTATGTGTGTAGGTTGAGGTTTTGGTTCAGGGCTGGAGAATGGAATATGTCGACGGAATATGTGGAAGATGTGTGTCTGTGGTCTATCAAGAAAGAGCAAAACAAATGCTTTCTAAGGACATAAATTAATATTGTACGTGGTCAGGTATCAACAAAACCGACTCAGAACCGCCTGAAAGAGACTAAATCCAGCTAAAGATCCTGTTACACTCTTGTTAAATCGGTTGCTACATCAGGAGGTGTCTCGTCAATTATATTCCTGTAGCACATCAGACACTTCATGCAGCACAGAAGAAGACACAGTTAAGTGTCAGGGACAGATAAGTCCAGGATAAGATACAAATTTTACTTTAACTGAAAAATACCAACATTAAAAGTCTGCATATGTAAATGCAAAAGAAGAATAATGTTAGTCCATCTTTCATCAGTGTTTACCATCCCACAGTTGCACTGCTCTCGACTCACCCACCCATCAAACGCAACATAAATCTGATGTCTCCACAAAGTGTTGACTTTTCAATTACATACATCCAAAACGTTCAGGTTTATAAACCATAGTGGAAAACAAAGCAGAACCTAAAACTTAGACCATACACATTCTTACAATGTTCAGGTTATGGGAAGCTCCAGGTTATTCGTTAAAGGAGCTATTTCTATCACTTCTTTTCTTCTACCAATGTAAGCATGCTAACCAGCCAGCCTCGGCCTGGTCGGCAGAAGCAGCTGCTCAGAGGACACAGTGTAACAACATGTCTTGTAAACTCAAACAGCTGTTAACGCTAATGTTAGCTACGTTATAGCAAAACTTACAAATAGCCCCTAAAGTTCCCACAGCGTGAAGGAGCTAATAGCTAACATATAACTTCCAGCATGCATCACTGATAGGCGTGGTGAAAGGTGAAACACCTGTAACCACACCCAATAGTAATGTCACAGCGTCCTGGAGCACACGTGCACATCCCTGACAAGTTAAAGCACAGGAGGTCAGAAAAAACAAGATTTTCATGGGGTGATAATTTACTATTTAATGAACTGAGGCAACCAATGTTACGGCATGAAGCGTGTCCTCATCATCTTTATGAAGACGTCCAAATGTCCACTTTATTTAAAACCTCTAATTACAACCTTGTGCACTAAAAATCTTCAACAGCTTGAGAAAACAAGAATAACTTAAAAGTAGCAACTGGAGTTGAACTCTGTAATAAAAAATCAGTCAACAATTTGGGAGTGACTGTGCTGCAGCTTCACTCTTGTTCACCCTTTAAATCCCTGATGGTGAGGACAAAGAAGAAGTCTTAAAGGATGAAACCGAGACGACGTGACTTGTTAAGACAAATAGTTTTCACAGTGTGTGTGTGAGTGTGTGTGTGTGTGTGTGTGTGTGTGTGTGTACGTGTGTGTTTTCTCCTCATAGTCAAAGAGACGAGGGCGTGGCAGGTGAGGAAAGACAGAAAAACTCCCCTCGGCTGTGGATCAGCGAGACACACACACACAATCATCCAACAGTGTCAAAGACAACAGTCACGTCTCTCTGTGATTGGACGGTTTGAAGATGCACAGACTCTGATTGGCCATTTTCCCTTTTTGAACAGAGTCACAGTGGAAACAAAATAAAAACACCACAGACATGACGAGATTAGGAAAATATTTCCAAAAACTTTTATGGCTTTAGATTGCTGTTAAACTGGACATGAATTTTACTGAGGGTATATTTATTAAATCTCTGCAGATTTGTACAGGACCTTTTTGTAAACATTAATAAAACAAAAGAAAGCATCTCAGAAAATGTTTTTATCATGATGAGAAATAAAACCCCACATACAATCAAAAAAAAAAAGGCGCAATAACAGTTTACAGTGTAGAACATCTTTCTCTATTATTTACAATGAGGGCAGCTTCTCTTTAAGGCTGCTCCCGTCGTTTTCGAACATAGAAATGCGCTTTGTTTGGGACAACAAATCTGTTTACATGTTGTTATTAATATGTTTTATGGTGTAAGTTGTCCCAAACTGGACACATAAATGTATTGAATATTACGCTTTAATTTTAATAGCTGTTTAAAGTTCAGTGTGAGCGTTTTCAAGCACGGATTCAGAGTGACAATACACAAATTGAAAAAAACACTGATCTGCAGACCGACTATGATCTTCAGCTCCAGTTTTTAAGGTTTTTTTTTTTTTTTTAACTAAACAAAAATAAATACTTTCTCACCAGAGACTGCAGTGCATGTTGAAGTCTGAGATCACAAACAACCACACAAAGAAAAAAGAAAAATCATCAACTAGTTCAAAGCGCAGGAGAAATCATCTGAGGTTTGATGACAAAATATTCAAGAATAGATATGTGATCTTGCTAAAAGCTGAACTTCAAATAATAATACAAAGAGAGGTTTGTTTTCTTTAACGTTTTCAGATGATTGATGAATTTATCATTAACCTGCAAAAAAGTTAGAATTTAGTTTAAAATATCTTGTGTCCAATTGTGGTAAAAAATCTTTTTATAAAACTCGCTAGCACCGCCCTGAAGCTCACCAGACTTTCCCTCCAAAACTCAAAGAATGTCGCCACCCACAAAAAACCACCTTCCCGCTACTTTTTTTTTTCTTTCGTTTTCTTTCTTCTTCACCTTCACCACGCTGACTCATCACTGCGTGTTGGATCTTGTCTGTGCCGCCTTACACATTTATCTCCTGCTCTCACACACATCTCCACTGAGGACGACTTGGGACGATTTAAACAAAGACTCAAGAGGATCCTGGACCATAAGGAAGGGGGGAGGATGAAGGTAAAGTGTGAGAGGGGAAAAAAGCTGAAAGAAAGCCAGAATCACAGCCAACAGATGATGGAAGGAGACTTCCCATGGACAGTGTCCTCTTTTAATGTGTTTCCATGAGTTAAACTGACTACAAACACTTTAAACAGGAAGATTTAAACAGGTGTGGGACCATGAATAGGAGCTGTAACGCTCTCTGAAGTAACACAATCATCTTCGCCAAATCTCTACACAAATATTCATTTCAAAAACTCAATTCTAATTAATAAAAAGAGTTTGACAGATTTTCATTTTGTTTGAACCCCTTTTGTTTTTAATTTACGTCCCCTCCCCCTCCCAGAGCACACCTGAAACTGCTCCAGTCGTCAGTGACGATCCTAAACTCTGGAGGGGGGGGGGGTCCAGTTCACCAATCCCAACCCCAACCCCCATGCAGACTACTAGCACTCACTACAATTTACAGATGTCCCCTAAATGCCTCACATGCAGGCAATCGGTAGACGCTTGCTGCAGCACACATCATCAGGGGCCCCGACTTGTTTTTATGGGAGATTTGAGGGGATTTATAGATGTCACTGAAAAATGTGCCAATATGAGGGGCCACGGGGGGAGTGGGGGGGCATTTTCCCCTTGGGAGCCCCAAACATTTGCCGGGTTTGCCTCTGTTAATCGCGCTACCTTCAAGAACTCTCTAAAAATTCTGCTTTGTAAAACTGCTTTTATTTAGTTATTTCCTGTCCTCTGTCAGTCTGCACTTGTGTTTTAGTTTCCTTCTTCTTCATGTAAAGTATTCAGAAAAGAACTCATATAACATATATTGTTATTTTATTATCATTAGTGGTTATTGTTTTACTGTCATGTGTCATGTCTACTTATTTGATTATTCTAATTTCATAGTTTCAGTCATTTTTCAAAATAAAGTACCCCAACTCTGTTTTGAGCAATATAATTAATTAATTAATTACATAATTAAAATAATTATTACTGATTATGATTATTGGATAGATGGATGTTATATTGGGGTATCTTGTTTTGCATTACTGCCACAATCTGGGGCTTTAAAGGGCTTTTACACAAAAATGTTCACATGTTAAAAATGGCCATAAATTAATGGAAATTTTGTTTTCGTCCAGATGTTTTAAGGTGGAAGCTCAGAGGAGTTGAAATCTTCTGTCGGACATTGTGGAACAACAGAGACATTATGGGGAAAGCAGCCGCATAGGGAGGGAGACAGACAAGGCAGACACGCTAAGTCGGCTCAACAGGTGCGTTAGAAAGACTTTGTACAAAGTGGTGAGCACAGAACAAACTGAGGTATTTTGGATCCGGTGACGCTGTCGAGCAAAGAGAAGCATCACAACATTTACTTGAAAACCCTTCAGCGCATTTGAAGCATCCCCCATCAGGCAAACTCCACCCACCTGGCACAGACAGTGAGATAAATCAAACCACAAAAACTTTTTTCATTGTATTTTTTTTAACCCAGAGCCCCTGAATGTCTACGTGTGTGGCCTGAGTGTGTATGTGTGTGATCACCCACACACCACAGTCATATGGTGTTACTGTGTGTGCGTGTGTGTGCGCCTGCGTGCGTGCGTGCGTGCATGTGTGTGTGTGTGTGTGCGTGTGTGCGTGATCAGGTTTCCAGCAGGATAAAGAGAGTCACTCATTGTAACCATCAGTCCATCAGGAAACGTCTCAGAGTTTCTCTCAGCAGTGATCCAGACAAAAGGTGACGGACAACGTCTGTTTACACCGAGCGGAAGAGAAGAAGAGAAGGATGATGATGAGGACGATCCAGTGACGGTTTGTGGGGAAGGTGAAGGTGAAAAAAAAAAAAAAAAAAAAAAAAAAAAAAAAAAAAAATTAAATCAGATTAACAGTGAAGATTCCAGCTAATAATCCAAACGCTGATAGAATCCATCGTTTGGGTTAAATCAAGTTTCCATTGTCCTCGTCAGGCACAGACAGAGAGAGGCAGAGAGAGGGGGATGATGGGAAAAGCTGGTCTGGCCAGGGCTTCACAGGAAACCAGCTGGACCCCTATAGGACTCCCCTCCCAGCTGCAGAGATGGATCATGGGAAACAAAACGGTCGGATCTCCTGAGGAAAGCAAGAGAAGGAAACGTTAACAGAGCTGAAAGTGTATCCAGGGAGCAGACTCCACCTCCATCCAACTCCACCTGGTCCCTCTCTTCCTCCTCACTCCTCCTATTTCTCATTTTCAATGTAATCACAAATTTTCTTTTTGTCCTGTTAGTTGTCTTTGTAAGCTCGTCTCACTTCATGCACGTTCTGCCACGTCTGTCTCTGTGTTTTGCTTCATTATTGATGCATATCCCACCTTTAAGACACATCTCAAACACTGGCTTAAGTCAGACCAGTACTTGATATTTGTAGTAGTGTATCGTGACTTGTAATGTTTTTTTTGTTTTATGTTACCTGCCGAGGGACTACGGATGTAAATTAGCATTATAGCTACAATCCAGCATGTTTACATCATCTGTTTTGTATTGATGTTGATTGACATTAACATTGTTCTTTTCAAATAAACAAACAAATAAACAAATAGTTGTTGCAAAAATTAGCTGAGGACTGATACACTCACTCAGTCCTATTTGTTTGTGTGAGTTAATTAACAACAGTTCGTTAAAAAATTATGTTAAATTTAAAAACCTTGAGACTGTTTCTATCAAAGTGGACAAACTGATACTGATCTTAAAAGTTGAAGTCGGACTTAAAATATCCAGATTCATCCTGATATCTCAGTTTGAGTTCAGCTGATTTATTATTACCATAGTTACCGGTGCCCTGAAGTTTCATTCATGTGGTCACAGTCATTTATACTTTGCACTTTGTCTTTTACTCTCTGTTTGTATTTATTTTTTGGCTCTTATTTGTCTCCATGTTGTGTGTGTACAGAGTTTGTACGTGTATATAGTATTCTAAGCATCTTAAACATGTCAGCAGCTCGTTGTTGTTTGTCGTCTGGCTTCCGCCTATGATTCGAGGCTCGTCTGTCATCGCATGTCGGGACATCAAAGAAAAGGTTTGTCAGTGACCACGTGAAAAGCTGCTGCAGGGCTCAGACACACAGACTGTGTGTGTGTGTGTGTGTGTGTGTGTGGCTCCACTTTCAATCAACAGTCTTATCTCAAAGGCTCTCTTGCGCACACACTCCATATAGATACTTTAATACACACAGGAAGCTACAGTGTGATCCTGCTTCTACACACACACACACACACACACACACACATGCACACGCACACGCGCACACACACACACACCCAGACACACACACACAAGCATACACCCTCCAGGCTTTGTTTGCTCAACCAAGTGGAGACAGCTTCTGTTTCAAGCATCACAGACTTGACCAAAAAAACACACACACACACACACACACACACACACACACACACACACACACACACACACACACACACACACACACACACACACACACAACAGCAGCAGCTTCTTCAGGTACGCCAAGATCCCAAAACAAATTCTTCAGTTGTCGGTTCATGTCTGACGATATTCAAACTTTTTCCTCTTGTCATCAAATCAGCTGCTAAAAATAGTCCCCAACAAATGCACTGTTTCCTGCTGCTTGTTTGATTAAAAATACGGTCATGAGATTTGTTAAAAATAAGATGAATGTGAAATAAATGCTGTTATTGTACTATGAACATTCAACGAGCCAGTTGATATATTTTTTTCTTATGTTAAATCCTTCTAATGATTTATTCGATATATCATTAATAAATGTCACATCCACCGACAAACCTTATTCTTTACTTTGTGGTAAAGTGTATAAACACTTGTGCGGTGACTGTCTTGTATTTCACGACTAGCATCTTCATAGTTTACTGTGCTCATCTTTCATCAAAGCATCAGCACTGTCTCTACTTGTTTGCAAATCAACATTTTCTTTGCTGCTTTTTTTTTTTTTTTTAAATCCGTGTAGTTTTTTGTTTGTTTTCTGTGTGTAAAATGATCTTACATGGAAGGAACTTAAAATCTGATTCATTATTATCATCACTGATACAAACAGAAACATGATGTAAATGACATTATGAAGAGAAGAAAGAGATATTTACCACCGGTGTGCAGGGACGTCTTTAGTACGGCGACTCGACCCTGAAAAACACAACAGAAAACAGTGATCAGCACAACGTGACCTCGCTCTGGGCTGTTTGTTATAATCACGTTATCAGTGAAGACACTTTGGGAGGACGGTGATCTTCACACAGCCTGAGACATATCAGCTGTGACGCCAACGCCGGACACTGAGACACAAGCAAGATACGTCACGTTCAAACTCTGATAAACTAATGAACGCTATGACGCGTTATTGCTAACGAACAGGTGGAGTGAAAGCTCCTGTTTCTTCACCGATGTTATCATCGTTAACACAAACGACCTCCAGGTGTTTGAGGAAAACTTGATTTCGTGGGGCTGTCTGTGTGATAGCCTGACATACCTTCAGGATGATGTCATCTCATCACACACACACACACACACACACACACACACACACACACACACGTTGACACAGAGCCTCCATGTTCAAAGCCACGTCACAACCAGATTATCTGTTTAGAGCTTGAAACCAAAAGAGGAGGAAGAAAGACAAGAAGCTCTCACACGTCAGGTTTCTTTTCGGGGGTTTATTAATTAAAATTTAACGCCCAAAAGTCATTGAGTTTCAGCAATTTTGGGGATTTGGAAGAAAACACCACACACTCACACAACTGGACCACCCGACAACTACAAATTTAGAAAACGATGTTCGACATCCGAAGCACCGTCAGTGTCTAAACACGTTGAGTCGCTGGAGCTTTAAGGGATTTAAGGCGTCAAATGAAGTGAAAACAGGGCTGCATCAGCAACCAGGCAAAGCTGGGTCGCTATCCAGGGGCCTCTGAACCTCCAGGGGCCCCTCGACAGCCTCAGGTTCACTCCATGTAATTCTTGTCTAATGGCAAATTTGCAAAACTGAAGTTCATCAGCCACGCTGACTCCTCCATTCCTCCAGCTCATGGTCCTGGTCTGGTGCAGGGATTCTGTCAAAATGTGTTTTAGTTCATATTGAGCTCAGGGACCCACAGGGACCCCTAGGAGGTTAAAGAAGCCATGACAGGGTTTGAAGTGCTGCTCACTAATATTCCCTCTCATTTAAAGAGAGCTGCAGATTCTTATATTCACACGCAGTCACTGCCTGATTCAGCTCTTGCAAAATATTTGAGCTCCAAAGACACATTTCCATTTGCTTTTCATGAAACCATCTGTGTGACTTCAGAGCAGCATTGAGCGAGTCAGGGAAATCAACACCTGCCTTACAGCTTTTTGTTGAATCACTTGAATCTTATCACAAAAACTGAGATACATTTTTTGGCGGCAGGTGATAAGACAAGCTGCAGACAAAACATCAGGGTTCACCCTCTGAAGGGAAAAGAGGTCACTGAAGTTCACCAATAATGCAATAAGGTAAGGAACACTGTAAGAGGTCAAAGGTCAGAGGCAGAGAAGTGAGACGTTTCAGAGCGTGGTGACTCTGTTATTGATGCTGAGGGAAGAGACGGCGGCAAACGACAGAAGAAACCTGGAACTCACAAACTGTCCTGCAGCTGTTTATCCATTTTACGACACGTCCTCGGAAAATAAAAGAGTTTACACAGCGGCAGAGAAGAAACAGCTGAGAGGCTCCGTCATGTCAGGTTGGAGCCACATGATATTTGGGCCCTCGCAGCATTTTACTGTCTTTAAAATCATTTAACAATAACAAAACGCCAGAAATTCTTTTGAATATGTATGGATTTTGATATAGACAAAGAAAAAAAAAAACCCTGGATTTCTGGAAATGGAGATGGGCATGTATCAGCATCTTTTTCACAGCAGTATCGATATAAGTTTTGCTAAAGATTAGCCACCATGGGCTCCTGGTCACACCAGACCACGAGAGCCTGCAGAGCAGCAAACAGGCTCTCGTGGATTGAGAAAAGAAAGTATTTTATGTATTTTACATATGAAATCAACCTTTGTTTGTAACAGAAAGACTGATATTACTTCTCTACAAAAATACATAGTCGCCCTTTCATTTCTCTTATTATCTAGGATATAAAGATTTGTTACTTTTTTAGCTCGTATTCACCTTTTATTTTACATTTTCATTGTTCCCATTTTATTCTGCAGCACTAGCCCTAACAAATGCATATTTATCACCTATTGTTTGCGGGGGCCTTGGTGGAACATTAGAGTATGAAAAGAGGTGAAAATGACTGAAAGATCATTTGAGGCGAAGGCGGCGTAAATTAGGTAGAAAAACAGCGGAGAGAAATAAAAGTAAAATCAGAAGAGATTAAAGAGAAAACCAGACGGTTACAGTTGAGCCGAGGAGCGACACAAACGTGAGCTGAAGAAGACGAGTGCAGACATGACAGTGACATTCCTGCCATTTCTGTGAAACGCAGGCCTCGCCCTCCTCAGAAAAAAAAAAAAAAAAAAAAAAAAAAACCCCTCCTGTTACAGGACGTCCATTCTCGATGTAAAAAGTAAAAACTGAGACCAAGGCCAAGTGGATTTAAAAGTCAAAGAAACTGTTTCTTTTGTATGAACCAGACTGAATAGAGAAAACCAGGTGGTGAAAGGTCACAGCCCTGAAACAATGTGCCACCTTTCTCTGAGCACAAAGCTAAACACAATATCTTGCTTTTTCTGAGTTAGCAAATTACATTTGCTACAAAATAAAGTTCACTTTATTACATCACATTTATAACCGTTAAAACAAATTAATTTTCCATTTTCAAGAGAAAAATGCAGTAAATTTTTCCAGTTGACTCCAGTGTAGCTTGCTAATGCTATGCTAAGCTAACATTAAGCCAACAGTTCAAGCAGCTCTGGCTGTAGTTGCGCCATTGAAGGTGGAGGACTCATGGTGACTTTCGTGTTGTCAGTAAAAAGACTCTTTGGTGTTGATGGTTAAAATAAAAGTCATGTGTAGTGAAGCTTCTATGAATTCTTGATGAACATCACATGTTACATTCAGAAGTAAAACGGCTGAAAGGTGTTGTTTCAGGCTGTTTCATCTTTCAAAACTTGTTACTTTTCAGTAGTAGATTCTGCCTGCCGTCGATGTGCCTTCACTGACCGGTTTTTGTCAGTTGTTTCTGGGGCTAATAATGCTGGTAGGAGATGTGGAGCCTGCAAACAAATTCCTCAATATCCAACCTGTAATTATTCACTGAGGGGTGTGACGTGAACGGGATTTCCCAGAGGCAGCTTGTGTTTTTTTTTTTTTTTTTTTCTGAAATGTAGCTCAAGAGCAGGAGACAAAAAAAGGCCGATGTCTGATTGATTGTGCAGAGGAGGTCTGACAGTTTTCTGACCTGGAGCTTAACGTTTTCCAATACATCTAACCGTGGTTATGTGAGATACTACATGCACATGTTTATATTCAGGCAGTATAATTATTCAAAATAAAGCTTTTATCTGCTGAGTCAAATTTACAAAAAAACACACAGATGAATACATCATGTAAATTACAGGGTGAAGACAGGCTAGTTTTTTCCTCTTCAAGATGCAGATGAGGATCTCACCACAGTGTCTGTTCGAGCTGCAAGACTGATTCGCCTGCAGCTACAGGAAGCGCAAGTCCTGCAGGTGACTATTTTCTCTAACTGACGTTCAGCTCAAATGAACTCCGCAAGATTATGAATGAAGTCAGCCAATGTTTCCCACCTGAGGCTTTCTTTGCTTGTAAACTGATGAATATTTCACCTCATCTTGAAAAATGGAATCACTTGGCTTCAAATGTACAAATCTTTAAAGCCAAAATAAATTTAAGCTCAAGGTTCATCTCAAACAAAATAAAAAATCCACTCACATATCCGCTTTTAATACAGTTGTATGCAGATTATGTACCATGAACAATGATGTTAGATAACTAAAGCTCAGAATTCTCCTGAAAACAATAAGGATCCTGACACGACCAGGAACATTAGCAACACAACCATCTGTTATCACATGTGAGTCAAGCTCAGTATTACTGAATTCACATGATGACACCTAAACATGCTCTCTTTGCTGAATAAAGACATGAAATGTGTTGAAAGCGCTGAAAAGACCTTTGAAAACAGAGATCATTGATATGATCTTTTTGTTTTTAAAGTTTAAGATTTGATCTCAAATGATTTGGGGAGAATAAATATACAAATAAACCTGGACTCAGTAAAACTTTTAGAAGCAACATGAGCTCAATTAGAAAACGACTCCACCATGTTAAATTGTTATGTGTTTAAAAGTGAACGCAGGGAGAGTGAGTTCACCTGAGAGACAGGTTTATATGAACTGTTACAAAGCTGAAAATACTGATGATGGATTCTGGTTTTGTAATTCAAAACTGGATTTTGCATACAAAAAAATTAAACCTCATGCGCTACACACACTTCATGACACCTAAACACCCCCCCCCACCCTACCGCCCACCCTGTCACTGGGGAGGGGGGCGGAGTCTCCCTGGATCAGAGAGTTAAGGAATGCAAGTCAGACTGTTTTCAAATACCAACCACACAGCCCGACTTAATCCTAGGTGACAAGGCCATGAACAACAAGGGGGAGAAGTGTTTGTGTGTGTCATATTACTGTTGTTGTTCTACAACTGTACTGCAGCTGGTGTCATGATGATAACCAACAAAAAGTGAACTGTCATTTTTTAAAACAAATTGGATACGACATGTTAATACTCCAACTGAAACTTTGAGAGCAGCATGGAGGTGGCTTATTTCAAGTTAAGCCAGGTGAGTTTTTTCCCTCCTAACTTTCCGATTCTTTATGCTCAAACTAACAAAGCAGCTGCTAGCTGCAGCTTCATATCACTGTACAGTCATGATGGTCAAATGTCTCGTCTCTGTCCCAACAAGAACATAAGAATATTTCCTCAAAATATCATTCTCTTCTATCTTGTTTCCTTTGACCAGCAGAACAATCAGTCTTACACTTTAGTCCCACTGTCACATATTTAAAAATATGTTGGTCCCGTTACTTCTGGCTCTGCTTGGCCAAAAGATTCCAGCTCCGTCTTTTAGGAAAGACGATGCTCAAAGTGGCTTTGGGACACCAGTTATCTAAAGCACAGTTTA